GTCAATGGGCCAGATGGCATGGTGATTTTTTTTTTTTAAGTTGTGTTTATATGAAATCAGGATTACAATGTATGTGACACAAAAGTGTGATGTGTAATACTGTAGGTAAATACTGAAGCATTCTATGGTGGATGATCATACAATATATACAAAGTTAAACAATCCCAAACTAGTAAAGTGTGTTTACTATTGACATGTTAATATGAGTTTTCATTAGCTACCATTATGTACTATGCTAATGAAAAAAGAAAATGTAGATAAATACTGTACTACTTTACATTATCATTTGTAATCATCATCCCACACCATGTTTGAATGGAAATGCCACTTGAACTGTTTCTTACCATGCTCAAAATTGAAAAGCAATATTAATATTTAATGCTTAAGAAAAGTACAATAATACTGGAATCTGTATACATGACACACGTCATTTATTATTAGTTATGTTACTGAAAAGGGAAATTACATACCAATGCATGTGATCCACTTCTCTTAATCGACTTAAACAAAACTTGAAACTTGTCCAAGGCTTCCATTTTCTCAGTTAGGTCGGTGTCAATAAATTCATTAAAATCAGCGTTAAATTTTAAAATTCGGTGGTACTCTGCAGCACAGGGGAGGAGACATTTGGAAGCATCAATTATTTCTGCTGCACTCTTGAGATGCTGCAGTTTTTTGCATATCTCCTTTTCATCAAGTAGTACAGCCACTAGTGTTTTTGGAGTGTCCTCCATTTGAAGCTGCAAAAGGGCAAACAAAAACACCAATCTGTTATATATATACACATATATTGATTAAGCATAGAATTCACATTCATAATGTAAAAGAGTAGTTAACAAGCAGTGTTAGAATGAACAATATCTATTTATTTACGAAAACATCAAGCTAGCATAAGCTAGATAAACCTCCTAGATAAACCTAAAGCAATATTTTGATCTCCGAAAACCAGTCGTCCATTTTCAATGATTCGCTATACACGCTTTGAAGTCCCGATCTGAATCAAATGATTCGTGATACGCGATCCGATTGGAGCGCTTCGAAACAGTGAATCATTTTGCGACGCAATGGTTTAAATGATTCGGAGTTTCAAAAAGCTTCGTTGTGTTCTTTGCTCGCTTAGCTACTCTATATAATTTATTCGTTGTTTGAATAACCGTGGAAATGAAATCATTACAATTAACAGGCCTAACGTACAATGTTTTTATTAAATTGTGATCACGTTAAATACAGTTTCCGTCGTATTAAAAACATTTCATAAAACTTTTCAAAATCCCCCCCCTCCTTTTAACTCAACCATGTGTTATTCCTGCTAATTTTTTACACACCAATGTGTTATTATTACACAATTTGTGTCAATTACGTACACAAAATGACACAAACTGTGTTAAAACAGTCAAATTAACACATTCTTTTTGAGATGGAGACCTACTCTAATGTCGAAGTCAATCAAATTTTAACCGTTACCTTGATAAATCATGTTATTATTTAAGGGCATTTAACAAAACATCAATACATTCTGTTGTTTAATGAAAGAGAGGCGACAGATAGCAATTAAAGTAGTAACGTACCGCTTTGTCAAACTAGTTAACAAGAATCCTGCCTAGCTGCAGCGTTTTATCAGACGTCATGTCATTTGCAACAAATCAAACAAAGAAAAACAAAACTCGTTAAAAATTAGTTCTCTCCAGAAAGTGAGGGACAAACTTACCAAAGTGTACGAGGAGAAATACAAATAATTTGTGAAGCACTAACGTTAACTATCAGACGCGGTTGCAGTCTTGTTCAACGCCGCCTCTCGAGTCTACGGAAAATACCCGTAAGCACGAGAGGTCGCTAACTAAACGCACAATTGACCGTCTAAAAAATAACAATAATAAAATACATTTGACAATTTGTATTTGACAATTTCTAATAACAAATCAATCGAAATACCTGACGTGTGCATCCAAGCCATCCACCGATGGAAAAAGAGGCGCGAACTTGCTTCTTGCCGCGCGGAGTGACGTAGCAGCAATGTGATTGGATGATAGTTAACAC